TGCTACTGAGTTGAAAGACCTGGAATGGGAATCCCTTGCTCTCTGCCAAAAACAAGCTCATTTAATGACAATGAACAAATTTACCAATGACATTATTTATATACATAAATCAAAATATTTGATTTGTCACACCCTTTTAGGTTTTTCTCCTTTCGAGTTTTCCTTGTCCGTGGTTTTTTCAAGTAAACCTTCCCTTTCCTCAAATCCAGTTCATCTGGGTACCATATTTTTTTCAGGGGGGGGGGAAAAGTAAAATTCGATTTTCCAGACAGAAGTGGCAGAAAGCATGAATTGGCCCTTGTCATCTTCTTACAAGATATCACACCATCTTTTTGTGTAGATCATTTCTCTATGTCTAGGCTACAAATCAACCACGAAATCATAAAATCTCCACCATTTCCAAGTACTGGGTAACTGGCAACAAAGTTGATGAGACTTCCCTGAGAAAGGTTCTCAGAGAATTCTGTATTCAGCATTCAGTCTACCGTCTGGAAGAACATAAATGACTCGGTCTCGGTTCCAAGAGGTAGGTTGAGAAATCAACATAAGAACACAAACAGAAGTAATCTTAAGTTCATCAGGATGAAGCTTTTAAAACATGCTCTAGTGAACTTCACCATCTAATGAATTAGAGTGAGTCATCATTTTGTCCACAAAACACCATAAAAAAGACTCTAAAGACATGTTACCCCATATGTTAGTGCTATCTTCCTTAATATCTTTACTCCAGACAATCTTGGTATTTTTCATAAGGAACCAGGAGGTTTGAATAAAACAGGAGGATGGGATTTTTTATTTCTTAACAGCAGACCTGAAAACCAAAGAGTGGCAACCTAGTTTCTTTAGAAACTACATCAAGTACAAATCTGGATAAGGAATGAAAACAAAATTGTTTTTTAAAATGAGGAATTTGACAAACCTTAAGCAAGCTTCACATTCGTATTTCTTTGCAAACCCAGGAGTTTGAAAATGTTTGGAAGAGCCCAGTACAGCGGAAGAGCCCAGATCCGACTTTAAAACCCCCTCCAAGAAAAAGACTATTTCTGTAGAGGAGCTAACCCGAGTCTATGAGGCTTTCAAATCAGATATCGAAACTCAGTGCTCTCCGGGGAAGCTCTGGGTGAAGAGAGTGCTTAAGGCAGATGAAACGTTCAAAAAGTCAGAGTTGGATGACAAAAAAATAAAACCAGTCTCTCACTGGGTGTGGTACCTCATAAAGCGACAACAACTTAAGGACTCCTATGAGCTACCAGAAGAGAGTGTACACCACCGCACTGCTAGGTACGTGTTGTTGAAGCCGCCAGGAACATCATCAGTAGGAGGTAGCGAGCCCGGGAGATGGGAGTGGAGCGAGGAGGAAACGGCCATCATCAAATGTGCCTTGAAAGACTTTAAGAAAGTACCCAGAAACACGGACATCTGCAAAATCTTCCAGTCGTTCTACGAGCTGATCAACATCTTCAATGCCAACACATTCGAGCGGATCTGAAACAAGGAGAAGAATCGGGGAAACTTGCAGGGCAAAAGGAGAGTGTGTGCCATGTGCCCAAAAGATGGAAGACAATGCACTGAACGTCACACCTTTGAAACCTCATATGTTAGCAAAATGGAACAGCAGAAACTAATGCTTAAAAAAAGGTAAGTTGGCTATAAAAGTAGGAATTCCCAACAAACCCATTAAGTCTGGCATGAAATATATGGTATAAACATACTATTTAAAGAATTCTATGATTTCATCCTTACAACTCTATATAAATTTTTAGCTCTCATTATTTATTCTAGTTTTATGTCCATGTTGATACTATTGCAAGTAGTTAATTAATGACTACCTTCTACATTGTGGCTGAAAAGCCCCTGTGGGGAGCTTCAATAGATGTATGTATGTGTGTATATGTGTGTAAACTCTTTGT